TACATAAATTTATTATTTTTAATATCCCAGCATTTTTGATGCAAAAACAGCAACAAGCCTAAATAAAACTGTCAGAGCAACACAGAGAAAAAAGAAGAGACACACATACATCTTGCTATCTTTGTGAGGACTTCACACACAGCACTCACAGCTTCTCTGCCTCAGTCTGCTGCTCCCATTTTTAACACCAGGCAAAAAACGCATTTAAACAGCTGACGTTAACTTTAGATCACAGTTTGAAATGTACACCGAAGAAAACCAGCATCACGACTGCGGTCACAGTAAACCTGATGTGAGCAGCGTCTGGTTCACATGATGGTGGACGGCTGCGCAAGTGAAAGTAAAACATGTCGCAGCGCTCCCATCTGGAAAAGAAACTTAAACACTAGGGCTGTATATTGGCAAGAATTTGGCGACATATACATATACATATCATGACAGAGGGGTCACGATACGATATATCCCGATATATTGTGATACTATAAGCAAGGCGATATATTATGATATATTGCGATTTTTTTTGTCCAAAAATTCTATTAAATAAAAACCTCTTACTGGGGAAAAAAATGAAAAATCTAAATTCATTGTCTCAGAAAATTCTAATATAACATAGACATACTTTTGATACATTTAGCTGTGTTCTGCTTTGTGTGTATTTTATTTTATTTGTTTCATATTTCATCCATGTTTTCAATTATTAGACTAAATTTGAAAATAAATAGTTTGAAAATATATTTTGCAGCTTTAGTGTTTAAAATTTAAATATAAAATATGGTCACCCAACACTTAACAATAGCCTCTAACTCAAGAGGTAGAGGAGCCAAATGTCTGGCTCACTGCTGCCAACTAGTGGTCAGAGGCTGAACTACAACATAAAAATGAACGGTTGGCAGGAAAGTTGACATTTTAAACCTTAATAAAAAATCGATACAGGACTTTAGAATATCGATACACTGTCGGGAAATGAAATATCGCGATATTTCATTGTATCGATATTTTCTTACACCCCTGTTAAACACAGCTGTTCTCTCTTCCCTCCTATTCCGACACAGAGGGTAGAAACAGCTAAATTAGACAGTTAAAACACATTTATAGTTCATAACTCACCCTTGTTGTTGTTAGCACTCTGTCTCACAACATTAGCTGGTGCGCTCTCCCCGGGGGAAGGGGCGGACACTTGCGGACCCAAAGAACGGATCGGCCGAACAGACAGTGTATCGGCCGAACGGACAGTGTATCGGCCGATACCGATACAAGGAAAAAAACGCAAATATCGGCCAAAGATATCGGCCGGCCGATGTATCGGTTGACCCCTAATACAGACTAAAACTTTCCAAATCTAGTTTCACGAATGAGTTGTAACTTGGATACTACCAAATTATGAATGTAAATTCTTCCTATTTATATCTAAAGTTTACTAATTCTCGGGGATCAAAAAATAAATAAATAAAAAAAACTACAGAACATTTAACTTCACAACAGCTTCAGTTGATCTAAGACAGGGATGTCCAAAGTCTGGCCCGGGGGCCATTTGTTGCCCCTGAACTGATTTTGTGTGGCCCATAACTTCAGTTCAAGAATTATACTAATTTGCTTACAAATTTGTCCTCCTGGCACAGGTGTTTGCTGCAGACAGAGACTTTCTATTTATTATTAGGGCAAATTTATCACAAAATAAAATCTTATAACAAAAGATATTGGCAACAATATCAATTATTTGTCTTCAAATAACCAGACTCTTACCTTTTTCCACATCTATCTGGTGACTTCTACTCAGAAGATGAGTCCAATCTGCTTTACATTATAGAATAAATTCGTCTGAATACAGCAAGCATTTTCAACAAAAGAGTGAACAAAATCCTGATTTTATTGATCAGAATTGACTAAACTGGGTTATTTCCCCCCCCCAATTGAAACCTAGAAAATTGCAAAATTTCTTTCAATAAGATAATCCTGCAAAACACTTTTAAACTTCTGGATCTAGATTAATTTACACATCTATTTCCAGCAATAAATCTTAACTACATTATTTGTTTAATTAAAGTATTAAATGCTTAGTTTATTGTTGAGCAGGTAAAGGAATAATATTTTGGGCCCTCAAGTCCTTCTGACTTTATGATTTTGGCCCATGTGACAAAATGTTTGGACACCACTGATCTAAGATGTAGGATTTTTTTCAACAGTCTTTTGAAACAAAGCACATAGATAAGGACACTTTCTGTAAAAGAAATAAAAATAAAAAGAAAATGCACGATAAACACATAGTAATGAAATCTGCCAAAGAAACTGAGACAAGCAGAACACTAGCTAAAAGGAGCAAAACAATACCAAAAGTCAGCAATACACTATCTAAAAAAGCCCAAAGGATCAAAAGAATATAAATGGCACAACCCTCTTATCTAACATATAAAATTAGCTAAATTCTGACTAAAAGCCGCAAAAGTGGAGTTAAAAGATAAAAGCAACAAAACTCCAGCTACAAGGATGAAAAACGCTAGCTAGAATCTAGCAAAAATGCTGGCTTAAAGCCAAAAGTAGCATAAGGGTAGCTAAGAATAGTAGTTTCTAAAAGCAGCAAAAGAAAAAGTTAAAAATATCAAAGCTGTGGCTAAAAGGATGAAAAGGCTAGCTAGAAGCTAAAAGTTAAAACATTCATCTGTCAGATCCTTGAAGATTTTTAACAAATCTTTTTGTTATTCACCCATTAAACCCTTAACTTAAACTAATGTGTATAAACCAGTCCACTTCAGTAAAAATATTCACTGAACTGCCAAAAAAATGTCACATACTTCAATCTTTCATTGCATTACTTAGACTCTGCTTTTGTGTCAACAAATGTATCGAAGAGAAAAGTGAGACCAGAAAATGACCTTACCTTGTTTCTGAACAAATCTCACTGCTGAATCTGGACCTAATGAACCGAAGCAACCCCAGACCATAACACTACCTCCACAGATTGATACGGCCAGTGTGATGGGTGTAGAAATCCACACACAATCTTTCCATGCAACCAGTTCCATATTTGATCAGGTGAATCAACCATATTTGGTGCAAAGGTTTGTCCACAGCTAATAAAAAACTTGCAAAGTATTCAAAAACCATTGGGGTTGTAAATATGAGGTGATGAGTGCTATTTTTATTTAAATACATAGACAGTGTTGAATGGTCTTTTCCCAGCTGGTCCTTGCAGCATCTGATTTGTATTTTTTTATTAACTTGATGTTTTAGATGTCTCTGAATAAGTGAAAAAAAGATGTTTTACAAAACCTTTCTAATTTTGGAACACACCTCAGTTTAGTTTTGCAATTTAGAAAAAAACATTGGATATGTATTTTTTGATTTATAACAAATACTTGGTAATGAAACACAAAAATGGACTGATTTTTGTCTGTTTATTGTAAATATAATTTACAAACATGATAATCACATCAGTTCAAACCAATTAAGCAACAATTAAAAGCAAATTTTGGCTTTTATTTAGAATTATTTTACAAATAAATATTTAAATCATATATTGTCATGGGTTAAAATATACAGATTGAGCTTCAAACACTTTTTGCATTTGTTTTTTTTGTCTTATTTACTTTAGTAACGTTGTCTCGATAATCTGGCTCTTTGAATGTAACATTTTTAACTCTTATAAAACAGTGCTGTAGCAAATTTAGTTTGTGATTAATTCTTGGTTTTAAGCTTAGAAATATGTGACCCATCACATCGAAATGAGGATTAAGTCCAAAAGTTGTACATGGAGAAATAGGCTAATATAATGTTTTGACTAAAATGTTAACTAAAATTGCATTTTGTCAAAATATAATGAATAAATGCCGTATTAATGTATCAGTTGAATGAACTGTCTGAAATTTAATTATAAAAATTTTTTTGAAGCCTTTTTTGAGCAGTAGCAACAAAAAAAACTGATTTTGAGGAAAAACGCCTTAAAATTTTGAGATTTTCCCTGTGAGTTAGCAAAGCTGTTTCTTTTTAGCTGGGAAATCTCAATATTCAACTAGACATGGGTTTTTACGATGTAAAAACAAGTGTGCATTGCCACATAGCATGGCTTTGCCTGCAGCATTGGACTTGCAGAGTGAAATGTGACCAAGTTCAAATATGTTTTCTATACCAGCTTGTGCCTGTCATGTCAGCAGGTGTTTGTAATTAAGGTAATTGAGTGACAATATGAAGTTGGAGGAAATTTTTTATTAAAGTTACATTGGCTGGGTTTTGAACCCTGATCTCCCACATGAAAGTCCATGACATAGACTGTTAGACCAATGGAGCTGTGGCAAAGTGTGGTGCCAGGGGTTGGTTTGTATGTGTGCAGAAAGAGGCCACATTGCCAATACAATTATTGACACAAAAATGCATAATATTACAACAATAGAGCAGTATTAAGACACTATTATAGTAAAACATCAAAATACAATCATATTAGTATTGTAAACACTGAGCTATTGAGATTAAATATAAAAAAACTATGGTGCAGTACCAAGTTGAGTACAGCTGGGGGCAGTATTGGACCATTACAAGGCCCCATTGACTGCCATTATATGAATTTGTAATAAAGTTTAAACATTAATATTTTAAAAACTACAAGTTGTACAGGTACCAAAAGGCATAGCAATCATTTGGCACAGGACCTTTACAGATATAAATTACAATGGCAGCTGTAGGACAAAGTATGCAGGAGGAGAAGCATGGCAAAGTTGAGATGACTTGGATGGGAAACAAATCACAATAGTGTGCATTGCATTGGCAATGCACATTGAATATAATTAGAGGTTTCCTCTGTATAAGGAGATCAAAAATTCCTCAGTAAAATGACATAAAATTAGGATTTAGACCAAATATGTATGTATTATTGTAGCCAACAAGACAAATTAAGTCATATTTCTGGATTTAATTATGATATCAGAATGATCCAGGTATCAAAATGTAGCTTTTAAAGCCAAGAATCTGAAAATGTAATTAGGTCATTTTGACCAAATTTGATTTAATCCTCATTTCGATATGATGGGTCACACAGGGGTAGACATAACCATTGTTTAGGTTGTCCGAGACAAACTATTTTTGTTTCGGACAACCAGATCCTGTCTCCTGGTTGTCCGGTGGACAACCAAGCAAAAAAGGTCTCGATTAAAGCTCTCTGCCGCGGGTGTTCGTCGTTTGTAAAAATGAAAGGGAGAAAAAACTTGGTAAAACCAAACAGAACAGTAAACTGTAATTTTTAATAAGGTCGTGTACACAGTATACTCCTATTTAAGTGAAATTTTTTTTTTACCTATGAGCAGAAAGAAGCTTATGAATGTTGAGCTCTTATTTCAAAAAAAGAGAATGAGGAAGTTTTATTCATGCAGCTCCTGTCAACCTGGCTGATTGAGAACAATTAATAAACTTCATCTACAGAACAATATACTTGTTAAATTACTTTTTTCTTGAGTTTCTTTTGGACAATCAAAATGTTTTGCGGACAACCAGGTCTTGTCAACAGGTTGTCCAGCGGACAACCTGTTGACAAGACCTGGTTGTCCGCAAAACATTTTGTAAAATATCCTTATTTCTACCACTGGTCACATATTAGAAAAGATCCAGCATATTTAAACCCTGGCACAGGTTTTTGTCAGCTGAGACTCTAATTAAATGACAGAGTGTTACTGTGTGTGACCCATGCTTTGATTGCAGAAAAATTCTTGTTTAATGGAGCGTTAAGAGCGTTCCTCTTGAAACGACCTCATTACACGCCCAGACACAAACTGTTCTCATCCTCAGCTTTTATGCTGCTCACAGTCTTATCATTCATAAAAAACACATTTAGACTTTTAGTCAGAAAAGTCCCTAACATGAGTTGTTCTGTGAAGTCACAATGGCTCATCAGGCCCTGTGTTTTTTTTATCTCCTTGTGACTCACAGTGGAAACCGTTCATCGAAAACATTCAAGCCCAAGAAGAACATCCCAGAAGGTTCTCATCAGTACGAGCTGTTGAAACATGCCGAGGCTACGCTGGGAAGTGGAAACCTGCGAATGGCCGTCATGTTACCCGAGGGTGAAGACCTGAATGAGTGGGTCGCTGTCAACAGTAAGCCCTGGGATTTACCTTCCTCCCCCTACCTGTTACATCATTTTCTTGAATTCAAAATCCTGGCAGAAAGACTTGATTTCAGCACTTGTTTTTCTTTTAAAGGGCCAGTGTTATGTGTTTCTCAGGCATATATTTAAATATTATACCATAATAAAGTATCTATGTCGCCTTTAGCTGTTATTAAAATGCTGTTTTTAAGTTTAAATAGAAAATAAACATATCTTCTCACCACTTCCTCTTCTAAACGCCTTGAAATTGGCCTCTGTCTCTTTAAGAACCACCTTCTGCTTCTGTCCCGTCCCGTTCGGTGGGTGTGGGTGTGGGGGTGGGTTCGTGCGTGCACTATGATGCAGTTTACTTGGCTTCTGAAAATACATTTCCTCAAAGGTATTTTTAATCTGAAAAGAGCTTCAATGAGTGAGAACTAATGTTGAGAGCTCAGCAGACAGTTAAGTTTCACTTTCACTTTCAGCCAAGAGCCTGCAGGAGTCATGGGCGTGTGTGTGTGTGGGGGGTGGGGGTGGGGGGGGCTCTGCCATGAGGAAGTTCAGCTTAAAGTCACGTCCCAGGGGTGTTTCTGGTCCCAAAAGGCGTTTCTAGTCACCACCTGTCGTTTTGCTCCTCAGCATGGCTTTATAAAAACGCTGCAGGATTTCTCAAACGGATGAATGAGTCAAAGCAAGACTTTGGGCATGTTTTTTATGACAGTATAACATTATAACATGATGTCCTGATGCATCTCAGCAATCCAGGTAAAAAATCAAAAAGAAAAAACTTGTACAGGTCCTCTGGACGGGTTCTTCTCTAATGAAACGTTTCGTCTCTCCTCCAAGAGACTTCTT